ACATTTTCTTGGGCCAGCGCCAATGCCTGGGCCGGTCAGGTTATCGGTCGGAACGGGAAGTACTACTTCTACGTTCCGGTGACCAGTCGTGACGGCCTCATGTCCATAGGTGTTGGTGTCAGCGACAGTGTCACTGGCCCATTTGTCGATGCTATTGGGGGCCCTCTTCTTGGCAATGGGCAAATCGACCCCACTGTATTCATCGACGACGATGGACAGGCCTACATGTTTTGGGGCAACCCGGATCTGTGGTATGTCAAGCTCAACGAAGACATGATCTCGTACAGCGGCGACATTACGAAGGTCGAGCTTACGGTTGATGGTTTCGGCGCTCGCGATGATACCACAGTGCGCCCCACGGCCTTTGAAGAGGGACCCTGGGCCTACAAGCGAGGAAATCTCTACTATATGATCTATGCAGCTGTGTGCTGCCCTGAGGATATTCGCTACAGTACGGGACCTACCATCATGGGACCATGGACTTATGGAGGCATTGTCATGCCTTCAGAAGGCGGCAGCTTTACCAACCATCCCGGTGTGGTTGATTTCAGCGATATCTCGTACTTCTTCTACCACAACGGCGCCTTGCCAGGTGGAGGTGGGTTTACTCGATCTGTTGCGGTCGAGAGCTTTAACTATCTTCCCAATGGATCTATCCCAGAGATGAAGATGACTACCGAAGGCCCGGCTCAAAGAAAGGGTGTGAATCCTTTTGAAAGACAAGAGGCAGAGTTGATTGCCTGGTCTCAGGGCATCGAAGTGGAAGTCTGCAGCGAAGGTGGTATGGCCGTTGCCTTCGTCAACGATGGCGACTACATCAAAGTTAAGGGCGTCGAATTCGGCAACGGAGCGGCAAAGTTTACTGCTAGTGTATCATCCGCAACCACCGGTGGTAACATCGAGATACGCCTCGACAATTTTGATGGAACCCTCATTGGCACTTGCGCTGTTACGGGCACTGGTGGATGGCAAACCTGGACGACAGTGACTTGCCCCATCAACGGCGCTGAAGGTAGCCATGACCTTTACTTCAGCTTTACTGGAGAGGGAACCGACTATCTGTTGAACTTTGACTGGTGGCAATTCGAGTAACAGAGCCGAGTACCGCTGTCTCACTTGCTTACCTAGTGTGGATGCGAATACTGGCAAGGAGGGTACAAGGACATTGATTCTGATTGTGAGGCCAATTCTTATGTCATAGGATCCAAGGCACTGTCAAGGGTCTAAGCATACGTTGATTAGTGCAGAGTTTAGATAAATTGACTGAGCCCTCTTTCTCTTTCTAAGCGCATGACGTCAAATTGACCAGGAGTTGATAGTTTCATAATGAAATCTGATACCCAGCCTGTCAAATGCCTGTGATTCTGTACGTGCAAGGATAGAAGGCTGAGAATATTCACGTGTATGAATTCTTGGATGTGTCTTCCATGTAGTCCCAGGGACCAAGCTATAGGCATACTGACTGTTGGACCTAAAGGATTATTGAATTCACGGGCGGAAGAAGCTAGCTGAGGTGAATGATTCCATGGATACAGGATGTCCTGAGCCGCGAAGAAACCCAGTGATGCAGTAAACATGCAAGGAGGGAAGAGGGTGTGGAGCTGGGAGCCAGGATGTTGAGTAAAATGGAAAAAAAAACTCGAACAAAGTCGTGACCCAAAACGGCTTGCTATTGCATGGTCCTTTCGCATTCGAACCAATTGTGTTGGAGATAGCCCCTCATTATTCTGCAATGGGGCTATGCCGAATGTCAGACCAGTTCATGCTAGGCAATATCGTAAGCATGGCACTTGATTTGGGGAGCGAATCAACAAGTCACATCTAATCATAGGCCCCGGCAGTACAAGCCAAGGCTAAATACCGCAAAGACTGCGTCTGGAGCAAGTGAAGGATGCGTGGTGGCCATATTTCTCTCACAATGGCAACTCAGAGACTCACAGAAGCTGCCGCATTCACTTACTATCCGCTCAACGAAGATCGGAACGAGATCCGGGTCCTCAACCTACAGACAATTGAACGACCACCTCTTGCCAAACTCCGGGATGAGCCACCTGAATGGCATGGCCTTGTCCATTGTACGATCGAGCACGTTTCACTCGACGCGTATCTGCCAGACTATAGAGCTTGGTCGTCTCAAACGCCGCAGCTGTCTCGGAGAAATAGCGACGAGCGATGGCGACGGTTCTCGAATGAGCGATATCGATCATTGAGCCCGACAAGAGTAAGCTCGCCGTTCGAAAGGCCACGTGCGCATCATCGCTATCATCGATTTTCATGGGGTGACTACGGAGCACTGAGCTACACTTGGGGAGACCAGACGGCGAAAGTGCCGATCATCATGAATGACCAGGTTGTGCTTGTCGGCCAAAGCTTAGAGGCAGCTCTGCGAGCCTTATCCTCAGATCCGGATTATATCGACGGTCTGAAAGTCTGGGCCGATGCAATCTGCATCAACCAGAGAGATCTAGCCGAGCGCAATCGTCAAGTGAAGCGCATGCGTCAGATTTATGGCAGAGCGCTCATTGTCTCCATCTGGCTAGGCGACATACCCAACGACTCTATTTCCGACATGGCTCAGCTCCACGAATTGATAATCAACTCAAAAGACAAAGCTGCAGCATCCGAGGTGTTGGAAATAGCAATGGCAGACCCAGAGAAGAAAGAAACCATACGCAGGGCCGTCGATGTCGTTGTCAAGAAGACATACTGGTCTCGGATCTGGGTAATTCAGGAGAAATGCCTGGGTCCCTCCAACCCTTCTATCCTTTTCGGGACGTTTCGCATGGGTTTGGTGCCGTTGCACAACTTTCTCCAGAGCGTCACGAACATCCATGGCGCTGTAAGGGCTCGTGAGAAAGTGTGGCGAATCTTGAAGTTGGTGGAGTTAGTAACTGCGACTCAAGAGCGTGTTCGCCGCGGTCGAGCTCAGACTGATGAGGAGCGTAGGCAAGATCAAGACGATCTTGGACTACTCTTGATGATTGGGAGGATGGCAGGCTCACTCGACTTGAGAGATCGTCTGTACGGACTAATGGGCATGATACCGGAATATGTGGCCAAATTGATCGAGCCGGACTACACGAAGAAGGTAGAGGATGTATTCTCAGATTTTGCCAGCGCTCTTATCACTGGCTTCGAATCTTTCGACATAGTGCTGACTGGGACAACGAAATCTACTCTCAAGCTTCCTTCCTGGGTGCCGGATTTGACATCTCCGTGGGATCCTTATCTATGGGGAACAAACTGCGATGCTAGTTGGGGACAGAAAGCCACCTTCCGGCTGGAAAAAGGCGAGAAGGTTCTTATCACCAGCGGTTACCTCGTTGATGCGGTAGAAGGATTAGCTCCTTTCTTGGGTTGGAAGCATGGCGGGCTCGGTGTTTGGCAAGATGCCATTCAGCCAGCATCTGTTGAGATGCCGAACGATCCCAAGGCGGCAATCGTACGAACTCTTCATCGAGCTGCAACCTATAACTGCGATTCAGGTACGACAATTCTCGACATTCCTTGGCTCGAGAGCCTGAGCCCCGACGACCCAGACATCTTGGCGCTGGAAAAGCGTGGCTGGGGCAAAGTTCTCAGACACGCCAATCTCAACGACTTGACTCAGTTTCGCAAGCAGGTCAATGACAATTTCCAACCTTGGGGTCGGAAATTCAAGTCTTTCTTTCCCCAAGTCCAAGATGTCGGAGATTGCTTGGACCCCAAGCCTTTCTTGGACTCACTTGATAAGCATATAGGAATCGTATACCCGGTCTTCACCACGGGAAAGGGGCTTTTTGGCACCGCAATTCTTCAACAAATACGGAAGGGAGACTCGATATTCGTTATACCGGGCTGCTCAGCGCCTATCATTATGCGACGGAATAATTACCAATGGCAAGTCATCTCACAGTGCTTTGTGGATGGCCTTATGTGTGGGGAGACGAAGACTGCAGTGAGTGTAAACGGCTGCAAATTGACAGAAATCCGAATAAGCTAGATGAAGAATAAACTTCAGATGTCATCCCAGTTCCTTGCGCAAATTAGGTGCCTTACTCAGCTTCAATGGCTGTCCTGCTAGCTTGAGGTGTTTGCAGTCTCGAGACAAGTCTCCAGCCAAAAGGAAGACTTTATTGCTATTACTGCAACATAGAGCCTTAGGTAGCGAGTGGCCCTTTCTACGCCTACAAATTATCCCTTCAAGGCAAAGCACCTCTCAATATTTTCCGCATTATTTCCCCACCAGTGCGCCATTACTGCTCCGGTTGTACCAAGGAAAATGAAGATGAACAAGAGATTGGCGTTGAAGCCTGTGTCCAAGGCTGCACCACTGATGTATGCCCATTTATTCCAGAATGCGCGTCGATAACGGTAGAGGTAGAAGTTGAAGAATGTTCCAACAAGGAAAGTTGTAAAGGGCCCAGTGCTAAGATTTCCGTGGAAAGTTGCCGCGCTAGCAAAGAAAATTGTTGAGTTCCAGAGATCAAAGCGGGCTTTTGGAAACTTCTTATGCAGAAGCCAGATGATGATCGGTGCTATCGCGCCAGCGGGAAAGCCATAGAGTACAGGCTTAAAAAACGACGACGCGAATAGCTTCTTTGGCCCGACAAGCGCATACTGGATACCAGCGGTGTTGTAGCTCTTGAACTCTTGACCAGTCCATTGTCCCTGAGGATCAGCAACTCGCCCGCTCACGTAGTCGAATTTGGATGCAATGACCCAACGCATAACGCCGTAGTTGATTGGGAGAGCTATCATGTTCGCGATGATTTGTACCCCGATCACGTCTCGTGGAGGAAGATGGAGGTAGTGCCCGATCTATATTGCTTATTAGCGTCCCTTGAATCAAGTACTTATCGAGAAGAGTGCTTGCCTTTTGGTCTTCCAGAACAATGCGAGCATCGTACCAGACGTTGCCAGAGATGATGCGATAGGCTAATTGGCCAAGGGGATGGCGCGACGATCCTTTCGCGTCGATCATGTCTATAGCCATCCGTCAGCGATTGCATCTTGACCCGCTATTTTCTGTTACGCTTGAACTGACAGCCGTAGATAAGTTCATTAAAGAAGCCAACCTTGATCGAATAACCAGACATTGCATAAACCAGACTCATGGGCAGCATAGAAGCACCGCCAAAGCCCAGAGCGACGAAGTAAGTCCAAGTCGGCATCCAAACAGACTTTGTGGCGACAATCACGAGCAAAATGCCAATGGGAATAACGGTCAACAGAACCCATTCCCTTATTGATGGTATTTAGCCAAAGTTTTACTGAATATCTTACGTATAGAGGCCCCGGGGATGTAAACTTACCAGAAAGTGAGGCTCGGATACTGTTGGATAATATGACTAAACGATTCAAGTCAGCAAATAGCTCTTAGCATCTCGACATGATTGACCAACCTCAACCTATCTTGGTGATACTCTCCCTCTGCTTTTCTTGCTTTCCAGATCTTGACTACTTTGGGGCCCAGGAACAGGCCACACCAAACAAAGGAAGAAATGTACGATGCGTACCACTTTTTTGGATTAGCAACTTCTCATGCAATTGATAATCAAAAGATTGCTTACCATGAAGATTTCCCATGTGTATTGAGCACCAGAGTACGCCAGACCAACCTCGTGGTAGGCTGTCTCGTTGACGTGCTGAACGCCGCTCGAATCCGTGTAGACTAGATTGTAGCTATCAGAATTTATAACAAACCGTCTATATGACTCTCGATTGGTTGTTGCCTCACTTAAAGATTCAAATGGATAAGAGGAACCGTTCTTTTGGAACACACCATTTGACATGATGTCGTACGTAGGGGATCCCCATAAGTTGCCAAAGTAAGCAACTGGAATCAAAATCCATGTCTTGTAAATAGTCAGCACAGAATACTGAAAAGAGGTATAGGACCTACCGTGATAACAAAGCCAACGAATATAGTCACTTGAACACTGTAAGGATAAGTAATGACGGTGGACGTGATGTTAGACCAGTTGAGTGTGATGTTGAGGAGCCCAATCCCTCCACGGCCGGCACCAAGGAAGTTGACAGTGTGATTGCGACTCGCAAACCAGCATAGGGGAGCAAGAGCAGCGACGAAAGGGAAAAGATACTCGGGGAGAAATTGCCAGAGAAATGTGCCCAATAGAATCCACCAGAACACCTTGATGATATTGTCAACATGGTTCAGGATTGGCTGATGGTTCTCCACTCACTCTCATTTGTTTCTGGGAAACGCTTTTGTGTAACTCAGACTTCCCTTGCATACTCCTATACAATGTAACCTGTTGAAGAGACAAAGGGAAGATGAACTCGGGATCATCAATCAGAATCTTCCGGACTTCGGCTTGTCAGAAAGTATCATCAATAGCATATGGTAATTTGGACTTACCCATTGCAGCGAATGAAAACCCCAGTAGAGAGGCACCCTGATTGCTCTTAGCATTTAAGCTTCAAGTCATGATCGTTCAATCTCACCCATCCAAAAAAGAGTGCAACAGCTGGATTCATTGTGATGCCGTAATACAGTGCTGCGTTGGTTGGCAAGTAGGCTAACCATGATCAGTTGGAACTGGAAGCGGGGACGGCGGAATCCGTTATAAATAACTTACTCGCCCACTGGCCTTGACTGCCCGCGTTGGCAGCAATACCGATGATTGCATGTTCTTTGATGGAGAATGGCCCAGGGTTGAGCGAGAAGGAGAAGCGTCCAAGGGGCACCGTATAAGCAGGTAGAATACGTGCTAATAGCCGACCTAGAGGAGCAGAGGCCAAGATGACGAAGAACACAGGGAATGGAGCTGTTGTGGTTCGGAAACTGTTTACTATCAGTAAGACGCCAGGCTGCATGATAGAAATGAGAGCATTACTATGAAAGCTGTGAAACAATACTTCCAGTTGTGCAAAAGATCGCAGAGAGGAGGATTGCCCGGAAGGTGAGCACTGGCAACGTTGGGTCGTCTTCGAATCCGACAACGTTACGTACAAGCTCTGGGATATTGACGAACTCTTCAGATTTGAAGTCGTACTCAGGCTCCGAGTCTTCTGTAGACCCTCTCTTGGCCCCATCTGAGCCATCGTCAATACCTCCAAGGAATAGCTTTTCAGACGTATCAAAGACAGAATCAACAACCACTTTCGGGTTGGTTGACTCTTTCGAGTTGTTCAGAGTGGTATTATCCTTTTCGTCACGTAATTGAGACATGGTTGGATGCTGGTATCACAGAAATCGTAATGTACGTAGGGTTGACAATGCGACGCTTGCGACAACTATAAGTAAAGCGAGCAAACCCCCGCTGATTGATCACAGGGAGGGAGCAGCATGCAATTGCGTATCTTCGTGATGTGCTTACGAACAGCGTTGTGCATTGCCACCTCGGTAATGCAAAACCTCTCAGAGTCGGGAACAGCTTATCGATGCCTTTTATTGGAAGTTCCCCAGGTCATATTGGAGGTTAATCTGTATTCGGGATAGACTACACAGAGAACTATCCTCCAAAACTCGAAACAGCATCTCCTGGACCAATGATGCACTTGGGCACGTTGCTTGCCTCAAGGGTACAATCTTATCCCAGCAGACGTTGGATGTGATGTTGGTTGCAGTTGGTCTAGCGTCGGCTAATACACCCTGGCATTCTACCGACCGGCATCGGAAATAAGAGGTATGGATGAAAGATGTTGATGCTGCATGCGAAGCCTGCATTATCTGATCGCGTTATCAAGGCGCAATGTAGGTGGAGTATGTCGAGATCGGCCAGTGGAAGCGGAGGAGACCCGACACCTCCTCCCAAGGTTTGATAAGAACGCATCGCAGACACAAGCAGACCACTGAGAACACAGCCTTGAAGAAGTAGTAGTGCGGGCAGTCCTTACTGTCGAGGCAGTACGTCCGGTCTCCCGACCTTGGCGCGTGGAACAGTCTTGCTGTAGCTCTGCGGTTGGACATTGTTCCTTCATAACCTGCTGTTGGAATAACCTTGGCAACGTGAAGAAAGCTGGTCAAGTAAGAATATCGGACGACATCCGATAGCGCCTGATGCATCTTCAATGTAACGTGGCCTACTGAGCCGTTGCGAACAATGGCGAAGAAGATAGCCCTAGATAGCTTAATCCCACTCTTGCATGGAATGGGAGCCCATTTGTTTGTCGGCGGCGGTGCTCCATGATTTCGTGGTTCTACAACATTAACATCGTGGTTCTGAATCAAAATGTTCAAGTTCAAATGCTGTTCGGAATGAGCAAATTTGTAGCCAGAGGCCTGAAGTCAAAAAATAGTTCCAAGATAGCGTCCAAGTTTGGCTTCAAGTCGATAGAAGTTTGTGAAACTCACTACTCAGTCTCTTCAAATATTGCAATTAATGGTACTGCGAAGCCACCTTATGAAAGATCATTGTTTCGCGGCAGGAACATGTTCCGCAGGGGCTTTAACTAGACTTCAAAGAAATTCGGGACTCTAGTATCGTAGACGTTTGATTCTGTAAAATGGTTCACAACTCAGATGCTCAATACATAAAAATGCCAACGCGGATCTCTAATTTATATGTGCTTGGGTATCTATCTTTTGAGCTTAAAGCAGTTTATGTGCATCTACTACGAGTGGTCCCAATAGATGTTAAATCGAATGACATGGTTAATCTAGAACAAATCTAAGATGTGTACCCATCAGCCCGATCGACCGCGGTTGCCTGAGCCAGCTTCGCGTCATCCACACTGACAGTGGGAAGGTACCCCTGAGGGTTAACACCACCTCCAGTGATGGCCAGTCCATCGGCGGTCGAGTTGACACCAATCGTAATCTAGCACAACGCATTAGCAAACTTTGGACTTCAAATTGATCTGGAAAGTCATCCACTCACGTAACCAACGAGACCATCCTCGATGTTGTCAGTCAACTGGCTGACGCTGATGACAGCACTGTATCCGTCGGAGCTGGCATCAGAGTACAGCGAGTCCTCTTCGTTGGTAGTTCGGTTCAGCGTCGTCAGGTGCTCACTGTACGGGCTGACGGCATACACTTGGCTCAGCAGGTCCTCCTCAAAGAAGAGCTGACCAATGTGCTGCACCTTGCTGGCGGAGTACGACGTGCCGTTCGCAATGTTGGTCTGCGCGGTGACGTGGATATGAGTCGTTCTGGTGATGTAGTATCCGGGGAACTTTGTAAGGAATTCCACGACGCCGTTCTGATCGGTGGTCTGGATGCCGCGGAGGAACGTCTCGTCATCCGTGGTGCCGTCCGTCCTCTTAGACCAGTTATCCAGGAGCTCTGCGGTGTTGGGGTCGATTCCAGTGAAGGAGGAGTATGAGCCGGTCGCGTTGCAGTTCCAAATCGTGAGGGCTGTGCCGACGAGGGGCTCGCATGTCTCAATGTCAATCACGCCCATGTCGAGGTAGAAGTCGATACCTCCCTGCGTCTCACGGAGATCGTGACGATGGATTTCTCCATCAACGCTGTCGCAAAGTTAGTCCCCGCATCAACCTCAAAATCGAACCCGTCGTAAATGACTAACCCATAGGGACCCCAGACGGTATCGGGGGCCAGAACGCAAGTGTCGTTCTGGATGGTGGTGTACTGCAACGAGTTCCGGGACATCAGGTCACGGGTATCGATATGGCCGTTTTGAACTCGGCGGGCTTGCAAACGAGCCGCTCGCTTCGCAAACATTTCTGCCTTGCGCTTCTCAATCGCCGCGGCGCACTTGTCGGTGCTTCGGCCAATGAGCTTTGCCTCATGTTTTGCTTGTTCGGCAGTGAGCTTCTCTGGGTGAGCGAGGGTGGTCCCTGCGGCCAGGGCAAAGAGAAACAAGTCGGTGAACAGCATGTTGGAGATGGGTATAGTAAAGAGAGAGTTTCTGATGAATGAGAGTCAAGTCGTGTTTAGACTGTGCGCTGAGAATGAGGTTCTGAACTACAAGTCTTCTTCCGAGGATCCCATCATCTCTTATACGACAATGCCTTCGCTCGATTATTTCCATATTCCATCATCCATCACCATTTTTGGCATTGCTCGGGGTTCTGTAGCAATCCGCTAATCAAGTTCTCCTTAATGGCTTACGTTGCGAAGGCTTTGATTGGAACAGCCCCTTGCGCTGCTGACGTCCACATCTACGTTGTCGGCCGGGAAGTGGGAGAGTTTGTGGAGTTGAGGCTCTAAAGAGGAGCATAGCGACCGCGTTCGCCACGGATCCCGAGGTCTTGGCCACAGACTACCCGTTGAATTTCCATAAAAAGGAAGGAGTACTACCAAGCCTACGGCTTGCACTCGTACATGCTATTGGCCATACGACGGAATAATGGGGTACTGGTATAAAGCTGGTATTCAATTTAGGGCTGAGCTCTTTAGCATGTTGGTTTTATAACGGGTATTAAGGATCTTCGCCTCCTTTCCGCGGCGGCTGTGCACCGGCATACGCGTAGAATCGCGGAATATCTCCATCTTTACCCGTTTAGGCAAGTTCTCGGCGACCACCATATCGGGTTTCGATGTAATGAACTGCCAGTCTTCTGGAACTTCGGACTTTGCCCGAGCTTGCGGAAGAAGTAACTGACTAATACGGTACCATTCAAACCCGAAAGTCTAGAACTTAGAGGGCCAGGAATCCGGACGAGAGAGACCAGCTGTAACTCGAGAAGAATCTTTGATACATGATGTATCAAGAATCAGCATGATTGGAATGACTATGCGCGCTGCCTATTAAGATTGTTACATGCTTATCATGGTCCACTGAGCACAAGTTTGGTTCAATCGCGTCAAGTACGTCCAGAACAAACATGAGCGGTCGAGTCCAAAGTCGTGGCAGCCGTCATTTTCGAAGTGGTGGTTCAAGTGCCTTAAAATTCACGGAGAAGAAGTCTTGTAGAGAAATGGCTTTGAGATCTTTCCGTCAATATCACAGATGCACGAAGAACTATTTTGATTCTCTGGAGTAGGTATGCTACATGGTCTGCTAGTGTGGACTATTTGTGGCGCATCACGGCTCCCACCTCCTTAACGCGTCATGTTCAGGGAGGTGGGCGTCGCGAAGTGGGCTGTCGAAACAAGTGACTAATCTAGAGTCGATCAAGAAATGCATGAAAACATACACACTCAAGAGTGATTGCCGACTCCCATCAAAAAGTCTTAAGGATGCTGCCATTCCTCGTGTTCTCTCCTCGACGCACAGTCAAGAGCTCAGCGGAAAGCAACCTCCAACCCGCTGGGCCCGCTCAGACATGCAACCCAACAGACGAACCGTCCCAAATTGCATGTACACATTCACCCTGATCGTCGGATCTAACAAACTCAAGCACGATCAGACGAATTCGAAAGAAAACCTTCATCACAGACATGATGCATCGCGGAGAAGAATGAGGATCATTTACCTCCACCCTAAAGTCGAAACTTCCTTCCCCAGATTGTTCTAGAGCCAGTGTCACCACCATACCAGGAAATGAAGAGGGCCGTGGACGTAAAGGTCACCTAGGAGGCTAACGTTGTTAAGCGTGCTAAGTGAGCGACCTGAGACACGGTAGAGCTGACCAGCTTTGGCTGGTCGCAACCTTCTTTTTAGACTTAATTTGGGTTAGTTGGGTCTGCAGTTGTAATCATGTCAGTCGGAAGTGCGACCGGCCACGTGCTTGGTGGGATAAGGTAAGCTTAAATGAGTTTCCGCAAGAGAGTTTCTGCTCTGCAGTTGTCATGACTTATGCACTCAGAAACCTTCTTTATTGATATTGGCTGACCTAATGCCGTGAAGATAATTCCTCTTTCCTCTCCCAGCTTCAATTCGTACCTAGTCTTCATCTGATCTCAATGGAACTGAAGCATCACAATGGGAAGACGCTCCCCTATTTTCCCATTGACAAACCAAAACGCCTTGACAAGAATAACCGTAGCCCAGCCACAAAACCTCTCTCTGTCTCTTCGAACTCAAGGCGAGTCTAACGCGACTAGATAGTAGAACCAGACCCCGCTATGACACTTCAAGTCTTGGCAGGCAACCTAAACCCAAATCAATCATCGTCAGCGTCTCTACTTTACCAAAACTGGCCTACCTGAGCAAAGCCAAGTAGTTTCGTCGTTCCCAAAGTAGGACATCAGCTCTGGGACACTCGCGCTTTTGATAAAACCGTCACTCTTGCGATCTATCCCGAAGTAGCAAGCGGGGAACGGGGGGAATGAGCTGGTGCTCGACCAACGACCGTCCCATCTTGACCATGTCCTGATGT